GTTAAACACAATAATTAGCCTGATTAAGAAAAAAAATTATAAACTCAACAAGTCATTAGTCACAACTAACACAGTTATTTCATTATTTTTTAGGGAAATAATTTTTCATATAATGTTTTTATCTCATTTTTTTATATAACTTAATGTATCATTAAAATAATTAATTTTTTTATTTTATATAAAATTCATAATATTCAATCCATCTACTTATTTAATGTGATATAAAAATAATATAAAAAAGTTATCCGATAACACAAACCTATTTTTTATGAGTCCTATACGTTTTATTAGGTTAACATGCACAATCTGATAAAAATGGTAACAAATCTAGAACGAGAAGGTGAATCCCCCCAACCCCAGAATACTTTTCTCCCTAGAATACTTTTCTCCCTAGACAACCAATTTTCAGAAAAATATATATGGTCAATTGCTTTGTTCTGCATTTTTCAGATATATCATTTATTGTTCCTATTAATATTTCTGCGTTAAACAGCGGCAGATGAAGAATTGTAGTAAATTTGATAACTTTATCAGACCCCACAAGTCCGGTGCCCATCAAAACTGAAAATGAAATCTGTATATATAACGGTGACAAGGAGTAGGTTTCATTCGTATCCAGTCTTCCTTTCTAGAACTGAACATTTTAGAAAATATTTCAATTTTGTGCATTGTATCTTCTCTTCTCTATTTAGCTCTGTCTGCCTTTCTTTGAGGAAACTGAGCAAAACGTGTGGTCAACATTCTGTCCACCTACCGGATTCCTCACCAATGTATCAATTTTCTATGTCTTGTCTCTGGAAAGGTTGAAACTTTCCCTTGCCTTGCAAACACAGTAGAGACCATTGAAATTTGTGGGAGATTTTGTGTCGTGGGGTCCAGGCGTCCCACCAGCTTCCGTGTCCATCACCCTATACATTGTCTTGTATTTGCTTGAACCAAAACTCTCTGTCAACACCAAAACCACCACCACCACCCGCACCGCCACCACCAGACCGCTCTTTCTTTGAACTTCCGTTTGAGCAAAAAAACCCAGAATCAATCACATTGCGCATTTTTTGCAGCAAATTTGGTTCCTTTAATGGCTTTGAGGTGTGCTTCAATCTGGGTTTCTGCTAAAACACCTCACTTTCATCTTGGGGTGCCAGGTTTGCAGGGTAAGCAATATGGGGTTGTTTCAGAGTTGAAGCTTCCCAAGAGGGAATTTTGTTGTTCGGCTGTTGTGACAGGTCAACCTATCACTCATCTTGACGATGAGAAGGCTCACGCTCCTGGGGTAGGGTCCTCTTCAGCTGTTAATCCAGCTCAGGAAATTGAGCCCAGGGTGCTTCCCAAGGACCTTAGTTTTCTTCCTAGTGAGTTGAAGTTCTTTGAATTAATGCATTCCTTTAATTTTTGTCGTTGATTGAATTGTTGATGTGATGGTACCTTGATTCTGGTTTACAATTCAGTGCTTATTGGATGACAAAGATAAAAGGCTTTTCTTTTGTTTTCATCTTTTTTATTTAAAATCAGATTTAACTTCTCTTCTCATCTTAGTTATGTAATGCAATGGCCTATCATAAACGAGGTTGTTCCTTAAAGAAACTAATTTGTATCTGCGAAGACGTATGACTTAGCATTGAGACATGCATTGTGATAAAGGTTTTCTTGAAGTCTAAAATTCCACTTGTAGGGCCAATTATACTCAATTTCAATAGTTTGCAAGGAGATGCAGGTTTGAAAAGATTTAAAGATTGTTATTTGATCATTTCCTGTTGGTAAGCACTATTATGGAGTCTTAGATCTCATGGAATTATTAATTTAGCTAGAAAACAATCCCAAATAACAACTTCTTGATCTGTAGTAAAGATTGAATGTCTTGTTAGCTGATGATGCATGTGATCCTTAATTCATGCCCTTAAAGCAAGGGCTGAATATACGGTATGTGAGATTCCTATGGTGAATCAGGCATTTCTTTTGCTGTGTTTTAAATCTAAATATCACAATTCGTGTTCCGGGGGATATTCTATTTCAGAGGTTTGAATTCCCATACATAATTCAAAACCAATAGATGGCGGCAGTGTGCATTAATTTGAGGAATTCTTCTACATTTGGTGAGTTTTCCACGTGCACATGTAGGCATGAGTACAGATTTTGTAACGTTGTAGGCACTGAGTGTTTGGATACTGAATTAATTAGTCAGATCATAATGTTCATTGTACTTTATAGTCTTGAATGTAACTCCAGTCCAATAGGATGGCAGTTGTGTGCTTTGATTTTAGGTGTCCTAGGTTCAGAGAGCATTCCACGTGGATATTTTCAACATGTGTATGGATAGAAGGAATTTCCATGGGAGGAGCAGGCATTAAGCATTGTTGTAGCCACTGAGAATTTGAATAACTGCATCAGTTAGTTAGATCACTGTTGTTTATCCATTTAGATCACGGTTCCTATCCGAATTTACTAATTTTGTTGTTTGGGGCGAATATTTGATCCATAAGTATGGGTATAATCCAATTCTTAACAAGATACGGAGAAGGCATTAAGTGAGGGAATCCATCAATCATCAACTAATGCTACAATGTATTCCATATTTCACCCACATAATTTATTGTTGAGTGTTTGTCATTCTTTCCCTTTTATTGTCATGCATCTTATTCCTGTTCCTGGTGACGTGTTTTATTGCTGTATCACTAAACCAGACATACTTGGTTTCTCATGCCTGGCGCCTGCTATTATCAATTTCTTCTTTCATTTTAGTCAATTTCTTTCCTAGTTTGAACATAAAACCAATTGCAGAACCCCTGTCTGCAAGTGATCTAACTCCTTCCCCTGGTGATGGAACAAAAGTGCGGGTGGCTTATCAGGTATAGCATTTATCCATCCTTCTTGTAACATTCATGTGTTTCATGATATTCTTATATTGTTTGTTTTGCCAATTATAGGGGATAGCAGGTGCATATAGTGAGGCTGCTGCATTGAAAGCATACCCTGACTGTGAAACTGTACCATGTGATCAGTTTGAATCTACATTTAAGGTTCAAAATACCATTAACAAGTAGTTTAGAGTTAATAATTTTATCTCAAATAAAATTGTTTTTTTACACCACTGCATTTTGTTCTCAGGCGGTTGAACTTTGGTTGGTGGATAAAGCGATTCTTCCGTTTGAGAATTCTTTAGGTGGTAGCATCCATCGTAATTATGACTTGCTCCTTAGGCACAGGCTGCACATAGTTGGGGAAGTCCTGATGACAGTAAATCACTGCCTTTTAGGGTTACCTGGTGTAAGAAAGGAAGAATTAAAACATGTGTTGAGCCATCCCAATGTTAGTCATATTCCTTTTCATTTATTTTTCTATTATGTTCAGGAGTCATGCTTGTCGACTGCATACCATGGGAACTTATGTCAAAGTTGTGCATTGAGATCCTTGAAGCTTACAATGTCTTACCCATAACCTTATTTGCAGGCACTTGCTCAATGTGAGATGACACTAAACAAGTTAGGTATAATTAGAATCAATGCTGATGATACTGCTGGTGCTGCTCAGGTAAATTTGGAGATCCTTTATGATCTATTTTAGTTTCCTCTAAGTTGTATTTTTTCATTGTTCTCAACAAATTAAAATGTCAATGTTTGGAACAGATGGTTGCTTTAGGTGGTGAACCAGATATTGGAGCGGTAGCCAGTTCTCAAGCTGCAGAAATATATGGGCTTGACATTCTGGCTGAAAAAATCCAGGTGGAAACTTTAATTTCCCATAACTCGTGATATAATTACATATGTTATTCTTAAAGAAAATCAAAATATGTCAACCGAGAAATAAGTCAAATAAACTTCCATTTCTTCATGCACATGTGTGAGCTTTAAGTGTTTCATTTCTGTAGTATTATTCTCTCTAAATTGGAAATGTTTTGATGTCATTTTGACAGTGTAATTGGGCTAATGATAAGTGATACGATACGCATCTAAATTCTGTTATGAACATCTGTTCTTCTGGTGTCAACTATATAAAAGAGTTTCTTAGTTGGCACTAGCTATTTTATGTTTGAAGTTATATTTTATGAAATTTTCTTAAATTTTTTAGACAAATATGAGCTCAATTCATTCAAGTAGTCATAGCAAATCTTAGTTAAGTTGAGTTGATGCCTGTTAATTTGTTACAAGGTTTCCAACTTATGTGTGAGGCTTCTTTTTGTCTTTTGATTTGGTTCATATTTTTGTTTTATGGTTTATCATGATTTCTTACAAATGCAATGTGGTTTGTTTTCTTCACCTCACACAATCAGGATTGCAAAGATAATTTTACCCGTTTTCTAATACTGGCCAGAGAACCTATAATTCCAGGAATGGACAGGCATTACAAGGTATAATTCCTCAAATGTGGTTTTGGGAGTCTCTTTTTATTCAAAGGGGAAAAAAAATTCTTAGTTTTAGTTATTTTTGGCTGACATCCACATAATTCTCCCTTTTATTATGATGATTACCAGACGAGCATTGTCTTTGCTCTAGAAGAAGGTCCTGGCATGCTGTTCAAAGCCTTGGCTGTTTTTGCTATGAGGGATATTAATTTGTCAAAGGTAAATCTGGTAAAGCCTTTAGTTTTCCATCAATGATTGTATGAAAACATTCTTATTATTATTTCCCACTTTGGAGCAATTTACAGATGGAAAGTCGCCCACAACAAAAGCGTCCTCTAAGAGTTGTGGATGATTCTAACAAAGGGAGTCCCAGGTAACTGTTTTGATTATTGAAATTGGCAATGGTAAATCTGGATAGGCGAGCTATTCTTGGGTCCATGTAAGCTGATGAGTGGTAGACTATATATGGATGCAAATTTTTGGAATGTCGATTTGAGTAATAACTATGAATATATTGCATCAGCTGGAAATGGAAGATAGCAAATAACTGTCTGATATAATTTTCATACTGAAAACATGTAGCTCCTGTGTTACTATTCTACCCTTTTATCTTCTTGCTCTTTACATTTATAAGCAAATGTTAAGAATATGAGACTCATTATATAATGTGATATACATGTGCTTAATTTTTCCTCTTGATTTCTCGCAAATCAAGAGGACCAAATGTTTTTCTTGCTTCTCAAGAGTTGACTTGCAGAGTCTAGGAAATTAGTTTTAATCTGCTGCAAAATTTTCTCCTTTTCATTATTGATTTTATTTCTGGTAGCAGGTGCTTTGACTACCTTTTTTATATAGACTTTGAAGCCTCAATGGCAGAGCCTCGTGCGCAAGATGCATTGGGACATTTGCAGGTTTGCCCTTTCTTTATCTGGTGATGATTTATGCTTCTTAACAGTAATGGGTGTAGGATTTTTCATTCCCTAATAGTCACCTAAAGTGTCCACCAAGACTAAATGTATTGCATATTGCTGACTGATATTCCTCTTGGATGTTTCGTCTTTTGCATATTTGGAGTACTTGCCCTTTTCATCTGTCTTTTTTATTGAAAAAAATATAAGGGATCAGTGAAAGGTAAACTAGTTCTTCGACTCAGAATGTTGTCAACAATGGATACTGTAGAAATAGATGGCAATAGAGCTTGGACACCTGAGAAATGTATAATGTGAGGACCAAATCTATAAGAAAAATGAAAATAAAAATAAATAAATGAATAAATGAATCAAGCTCACATCAGGTTTCTAAATTGAAATATGATAGCTGCACTTTTCTAGGAATGAAGAACTACATTCCCGGGGAAAATAGCCTTGTTTAATGAATCCCATGGGAGTTTAAGATCAAACCTGTGCTACCATGTGTAATATGAGTAAAGATTTGTATGCTTTATTTCTGGTCTATTGTGCATGATTAACCATATTAGCTTACCTATTCTTTGACAGGAATTAGCGACATTTCTTCGCGTTCTGGGTTGCTACCCTAGAGATAACATCATATACGGCTAAATAGATGGAATACTCTTATGAAGTTCATTTGTCCATCTTTTGAATTTATCTGTGAAACCTACAAGGTGGAGAACTGTTCAAACCATGTGTAGCTTAGGTAGTCTTCATCCGGCTAAAGGTGAACGTGAAGTTCCGGAAGATGCTAAAAGCTTTCTGGGTTTGTCTGAAATCTTCTTAAACAGGATCTTTTTTTCTTCTTCTTTTCTCAAAAATAAAACCCTTCAAAGAAAAATGAAGTTGGTTCCTTTCTTTAAGAACTCAAACTCAAAAGACCATGCTTGCATATATTATTGAATTTAGTTGGGTGTTCTGCCTTTCCCATAGGTTTTCCAGGTGAATAGATGATTGATTGTGTATTGCAGTAGCGAATGTAAATCTAGTGAGAGAGTGGAGGGAGGATGTAAGTGAAAAGGAGAATAGATTACCCATTCATGCAACAAACCAGAGTCAAACACAAACGGAGTTCTAAAAGGAGTTTTCAAGTCATACACTAACGAACATATCTAAACACGCATATTGCTAAACCGAAGTACTAGAGGCCAATTTATTTCATAGCTGGACATTTTGCCTCGGGAGTCCAGTAGCGGATCCGACCTTTACATGGGTTACTCTGGCTTGTGCAGCTCCCTCAGGAAGTCTTCATTGTCAACCAGGACCTGCATGATCCAAAGCAAAAACAAACATGATGATTAACGAGCTTTCATGAAACGGATAGCCTATAGTATAAATGCTCTAGTAACTAGTACAGATAACATGGTAATTATTATTACTAGTAAAGAACGTACGGTTTTCCAGCCATCAGGATCCACGAAAGAGGTAATTTTGGTGTTGATTCCAGGAACTGGTCCTGGTTGTCGAATTATCTTCCCTCCAAGCTCCTTTGTAACCAGATCGACAACCTCAGCACTCTTATACACATCATCAGTGCTAATGGCGACCTAGAATTTAGATGGAGCAACCATCAGAAAGAAAGCACAAGGAAGTTTTCTCAAATGAAACTATTTGCCAAGATTCCCAATATAAGGAACCCAACCATCAACTGACCTGTGCATATGCATTTCCTTTGGTGTACTCGGTCACACCATAGTTATAAGTCAACTCAAGCACAATTGTCTTTTCTTCCTCTGCATATCCTAACATGGCTATGGAGTACTATACAAAGCATGTAACAAAAATTAGAAAACTCAGTATGCACTTTCCATGGTTAATGGGAAACTTAATATTTTCTGCAAAATAAACTGAATGAAATAAGCCATCAACAAGGCAGTATACCTTGTATTCAGGTCTATCCACCTTCTTCACTACCCTCATCCCCAAGGCCTGCAAAGAAAAAGGAAAAAAAGAAACCATTTATTATCTCTCTTTTCTTTCATTCTTGAAAGCAATCTCCTTCTGCAACTTTTTGAGCCAGAGAAAAGAAAAGAAAAAATGACTTTTCAAGGTATTGTGATGCAAGTTAAAAAATGAAAGGTCACTGAAAGAATCCATAACTAATAGTTTGACAATGAGTTCCCTATGAACACTTCCACTTGGTATCCCTTTTCTTTGTATTCGACATGAATATCAGAATGTCAGAAAGAATAAATTATTTCTCAATAATTTAACTAAACTCATGCTTGACACACTTCCCAAATCCAAACTAGAATGCAAACTACCAATGAAAATATATTCAAATCTTTTATCCCATAATGCAAATTCATCCCCAAATTTTTTCTTAATTTGTCCTGCCATAGGCTTGACCTATTGGTGATGGTTGTTTTTAATTATATGTAGATTCTTAAACTTTAACAAGAAAACTCATCAGAGTTCCTTCCACTGTATGGTAGTAGGCTCCTGCCTTAACTCTTAAATACAGATAAATAGAGAGTAATGATGCTTTGAAAATGTTGTAAAGATCACAGGAGCTACAATTTACAATTTAAGCAGAGGAAAACTTCATTGTAGATTACCTTCTCATAAAACTTGATAGAACGCTCCAGATCACCGACACGAAGCATTACTTGGCAAAGTGGCTCAGGAGTATTTTCTCTTTGGATGAGCTCAAAAATGTAGCCATCAGGATCTTTCACAAAGGCAATGACAGTTGATCCACCTTTGACAGGACCAGGCTCCCTAGTGATAGTGCCACCCTTGGCACGGATGTCTTCAGCCATTTTGTATACCTGTCCATAGAAGGCGCAAGTAATTTTCAGCACTTAAGATAACCATTTGCTTTGAATTTCCCAAGACTGAGAAACTCACATCTGGGGTAGCAATTGCAAAATGCCCAAAACCAGTTCCAATATCATACGAAGTTACTCCATAATCTGTAAAGAACAACAAGGTAATTCTCATAAATCAAAAGGGTCCATGGAAATCAAATTTGAGTGGTAATTATTATTTTATAAGCAAAACTTCTTGCCAGAGTGAGAGTCACATTCCTTCATTTATATAATAAAAATACCCTTAACCTAAAAACACTATACCTCACTCTTTCTTGCAAAGGTTGCCTTACCGTAACTCAATCAACCAATCTCTAGTAATTTAAGTTGTAAGGTACGGTTGCATAAAAAAAAGAACTGTTTTTTATTAAGTATAGCATCAATCTTGTTGACTGGAAGGAAACACATTTTACCAAGTATGATCTCTATCAAAGTCTATAGCAGACTATATAGATTAACTAGACTGCAGTATAACTGTTCGATCAAAATATATATTAAAGAACTCCTAATGTGGAGCAATTCATAGAAACAGCTAGAAACATACTGTATGTTAACTCCACGACGAAATTAGTTTCCTCTGGTCCAAATCCAAGGAAGGCGTTAGAGTACTTCTCCTCCGGAATATCTCTTTTCCTCAAAAGCTTCATCCCGAAACACTCAGTGTAAAACCTAACAACACATAATTTGAAGACAAACATAAGAACAATCTACACATCATCGGTACAGAAACGCAGTTCTAGACAAACGTACTTGATGGTGCGATCGAGATCGCCGACGCGATACACGACGTGAAGGAGCCGGCGGTTGTCCTTCTTCGGCCATTCCAAGATCCCAAGATTAGCAGCCTCAGCCATGACTGAACGATCGAGTCCGAATACCGCACAAACAGAATCACCGAGTGGTCATCAAAGCGGGATAATCATCAGAAAACAGCTCACAAACTCAAAGAAAACCAGAAAAATGAACTGAAATTTGAGGAATTGAACCCTAAT